AACGCTCTCGTGTAAGTTTGACTTACACGTGTAAGCTAATCGAACGCACCCAATTTAAAATTTGTCCAGATACTATTGTAATCGATAGGCGTATACCGGTATCCGTATTGTAACGGAGTCACAGGATCGTTCACACGACAGGCCTTCTGTGACTTAAATTTGAATAAAATCTGGTAACTGTGTTAATTCTTTAAATTCACGTGAGCATAATTTGGATTCTCCTTACTAAAGACACTGTTGCTATATACCTCGCTATTCGGGGAAAGCTTTCGCTTAGTTGCATAAATAAGAGACACCTTGGTCCACATTTATGTTTTACTCCCATTCGACGTGTGGAAATTAATGACTTCGACCGTGCGCGGCGGTTACTTGACCGGACCTTCGTGAACCACACGGAATATCCGTAGCAACTTGCCAATCCTCTGTTGAGCCTTCTCGTTTTGAAGATTTCGTGTGCACAACATTAAAATCGATCACATTGAAACTCTTTGTATGTGCTCTAGAAGGCTTAAACCGAATAAAACACTACAGAATTAGGAAAAGAAATGCTACGTAAATATGAAATTTAGCCTCATGCATGTATAGTTAAAGTTAGAATAGTTAAACAGAGAGCAGTGAAAATGTCGAATGGAATAGCAAAATTGCCGGAAATGGAAAGGTGAAATCGTATAATTGGTGAAATGGCATGATACAGTGGTGAAGATGACAAATTGAATGCCGAAACTGGCGAATTGAATTGTGAAATTGTCAAACTGAATGGTTAAATCTTCGAATGGAACGGTGCAACTGTTCAATGAAATGGTACAAATAACAAAACTGACGATGGAGGGCCACCATAGGCGTCGCCAGGATTGTTTTCCGGGGGGGGGGTATTTTTGACCCGCAATGGGGAAAAATAAAACAAACCTGACGACGGGTGAAAATTGAAAATTATGATTAACCCATCAAAGGGTGTAGGGGCGATTTAAAAAAAAAATAAATCTGTAACTTTCCTACCATTTCCTCTCTTATTTTTATCTATTCCATTTCTATAAAATGCTTTAATATCCCCCATTTTTTCAAGGGGAGGGGGAGGGGTCAAGTGTCCCCTCTTGCCCTTCCCTGGACCCCATGAGGATTATCGAAGATATTATCGGCTTCCATACATTTGTGGAGAGAGGATGGAGAGAGGGCTCACACTGAGAGAAGTTTTGGAGCAAGAGGCAGGGTATTGTAAAGTCTGGTTCCCAAGCCCGATGAATATGACCACTCTCTTTCTATTCAAATACGTGGTACGCATGTGAAAGGGATATCGCTGCACACCTGTCATACCGTAGTTTTTTTTGTTTATAAAGCCTAAAGGGTGCCAGTCTGCATAGCGCGCGGGTTTCGGCAGTGCACGTGCGCAATTATTCATTGTAACTTGAGCGGGTGAGGTAGTTTGGGTAAATTAAGCCTGCCAGATTTTACAAGACTGGTTTTCTGGCAGTCCGTCTCTTGTGAATATAGCGCCCTTTACTGGTACTGTCATTCGGCTGCGCTTGCCGGGGCATGTCGCCTGATCGACATGCACACCTGCACGGGCAAAAACATTAAAACCAGTCTTAGGACATAACTAATCATTCTAAGAAACCTTCAAAGCGTGCGTGCTTATTACACTCCTGGCTTGGTGCCAACTCAGGAATGGCTTCTACTTCTGACCACACCTGTCGAATGTTTCCATAACTTCATTTGTCAAAACAATTAACCTCTACGACGTCATAAATATTAACTGCTACCAAATTGGCAGAGAAGAAGATAAGCATGAACTCCGAAAACAATCCGGTGAAAGCAGTAATTTCTGCGTTTGACATGGCAGCGCCATTTGGCTCAGCAGGGTCTGCCAGTCTGCCGCGCCATCCTGTTCTCCTGAAGTACAGTGACATAGCATGATTTATATGCCGTAAATATTCTTGTTCACCCATATTACCATGCACGAAGTTCGCGTGGTCAAACATCAAAGAAAGAATCACTGCGAATGTAGCAAACAAAACCGTTGTATTCGACTGCCGATGACAGCAAATTTTGACTTTTTTTTGTGACTGCGGTTCTACTGTTTTGCTCCTGCCGTACTTATGTACAGTTGAGTTTAGCGCGTCAATAGAACAGCGGCTAGACTAGGCCCCTATATTCCTGATGGCATTGGTGGTTGAGATTCCACTGGTTAAGGATGCTAATTGCCAATTATGCGACCGAGGCTATAAAGCTCCTTTATTGCTTTCTCACAGTCTTTCCTAATTCACGTCTCTTCATATTCTTGTTTCAAGTTACAGAGTCCATGCACAGTAGTTAGGCCAACATGATAAAGAAGCTTCCGTCTACTTTTTAACAGGAGAACACGTTTGTTTGCAACGAATTTGTATGTTGGATTGACGCTGCAAGTTTTAATTTTCTGTTTTTCTTGGTTTTTGTCTTAATAGCTATTGGACAGTGCTTAGCCAACGTCTTGACTCGTTCATCACTCGGTGAACATTACGACGTGAATGGTTTCGCACTGGCTTCGGGGATCGCAAGGACTGGGTCATCCATTGGCCTGGTCTGTCTACCCTCTCTAGTGCAGCTATTTCTCAACACGTATGGATGGAGAGGAGCCATGCTTATTCTCGGTTCCATTGGTGCCCATCTTGCCTTGAGTGGCGCCCTGTTGATTCCTCCTCCAAAAGAGACTGGGAACAGGACAACAGGCGGCTACCAGCTACTTTCTCATACTTCCCATAAACATGAAGCAGAAAATTACGTCAACTACAGTATCCTGGCGTTTCTGAGGTATATTTGTATGAAAATGGGAGGAGCTCTCGACCTCTCTTTAATGAAGAACCTGGACTTTTGGACCATAACTCTTATTGTCGTGACTATTCGATTCAGCCAATCAGCGTGGTACATTTATTTTGTTCCTCGCGCCGTTGCCATTGGAGTCTCTAATGAAGAAGCCACAATAATTGTGACAATTGCCGCGCTTGTCCAGTTGGTCTCCGGCATACTAGGTAGTGGCCTAGTGTATACAGGGAGGGGGACGAGTACCAGCATCATGGCGGTGAGTGTTACTCTCGTCGCTGTCTCCTTTTTTGTTGACCCCTGGATGACCTCGTGGTGGCCGTTGTTCGCTAACGCCGCCCTCTTCTTGTCAGGCATGGGGATGGTGATAACTTTGGTTGACGTCATGGTGAAGGAGCTCCTTGGGGTTGACAGGATGGCCAGCGCCTTCGGATGGATGGGATTTCTGTCTGGAATAGCTAGGCCTTTCTCTGGATTTATCCCAGGTGAAAAATGTGACGTTCAATGAGTTTCATTTCAGAATAAGACGGACTCAACTCAACTTGTAATAAGAATTGTCGTTGATATTTTCGGGGAGGGAGCTATTTCACAAGCACTGAAGGCAATCGAATTACATTTGCACTTCCTTTCGTTTTTCATTTTCAGGCTGGATTTATGACCACTCCAGAAGTTACAACACAGCTTTCATCATTCTTGGAGCCATCCAAACAACGTCACTGATCCCACTGGTCATTAAAAGACTCAAGACGAGTGTGCCCAAGTCGCTTTCCCCGCATTGACTAGCTTCTACAAGCGTGCTTTCAACATCTACTTAAATGTGCCACGCTCTCTACGTCACAGGTTGGTCGAACAACGACTACAATGACACCCAACTTAGCTCCGCGTACATGTATGATGCTTGTCCAATTAGGCTGAGTCCGAATGCTTGGATCCGGCTTGAATTGCACAAAACTCTATGGGAAGTGAATACAACTATGTAGCCTACTGCCTTAGATTCTGGTGTAATTTGAGGCCGCAGCTAAGTTATTCGGATACAGCCCCAGAGGTCAGAACTAGTCGATTTGCAGGTGAAAGTTAACTATTCAACTATTCAATATTTACTTCGTAAATATTAACTCTGGTTACCGATGTTTCGTGAAGGGGTACTTTGAAAAGTGTGAGTAAATTTTCGGCAAATTTCTTATTCAGATGGGCGTATCTTTTAATTTATGTACATTAAGATTATATTAACCAATTATCGCTTAAGCAGAATATGCGGGAGAGGTGTTGATAAACCAAAATATTGACTGCTTTTTCTCGATGTGTTGTAAAACTAGCCTCTCTCAGTGATGGAACATTCTAAAATAGAATTCTCCATGGATCACCTAGGGAGACTAGTTTTACGACATCACCTCAAGCAGTCAAAATTTGTACTGTGCCCATGATTGCTGCTGGCGGGACCGCAGCAGAGATTATGTTGGTGGCGGTTGTAGTTTTGGAAAACAAATATAAAAGTAGTTAATTTAATAACAATTAAAAGAAATATATTCGATAAATTATTGACCCATGAAAAGGTTATGGTGTACTATGCCAACGATTTCCGGTTTCATACATGGTACTACAGGTTGTCCGACCATGTACCCAACACATGAAATCTTACACAGAAAACTGCCAATGTACCCTTAAAATCCCGCAAATGTACGATACGTTTACGCTTAAAATAAATCTATAGAATTATCTATTGTGGTTGCATTTAACGATAAGTGGTGCCTACAGGAACCTTTACAGTTAGGGCGGGTACATAATAAATTATTTTCGGTCAACGGAATCATCAAACTGTGTCATCTTTGACCTCGGGGGTGCACCTACTTAAATAGGCTAAAAATCTGTCCGCCGAGCTCACGAATAAAATGTTATCCACTCAAGATATTCTATTTTAGAAAGTCCCGAGAGGCATTGAATTAGGGAATGGAAGAAATATGGCGTCGACTCTCTGGCTAAGTCTGAGCAATTTGCATTCAGTCGGGTCAGAAAGTGGTACTTCAGACGTTTTGCAAAGGGATGGGTATTCAAATGGCTACCTTTCCCAGCTAGGGAAATGTCCATCGTTTCAGGGGTGGTCCTGTGGGTGTGAATTTCTCAAAAAGTCGTGATCAACCCATCAAAAATTTAAAGGAAAATAAAAGACGAGATGTCAATCATCATTTTCCTATGTGGCCCGAACACCAGTGGGAGTTGTGTTTTTTAAAAATTTTGAAGTATATTTTTCACCGCTGTCTGGGGGAATTTACTTACTGGCATGCACCCTCGGAGAGTATTCGTGAAACAGAGGGCGCCCTCACGCATAATTGGCTAGAGTTTCTTGCAACTGAGCTAACTTCCAGTCTTTCAGTACAAAAACGTGGCAAAAATAAGAAAACAAGCACAAAATACAGAAAATCATAAATTATGCATCTTGCTGCTTAAGTTTTGGAAGGGAGATGTTCCGTGTTTGGGGTTATGGAAATGGGTTATGAGACGCTTAAGTATTTAAGCATGGAAATTACGATAACATGTAAATATTTGCTTATTAAAGTGGGCAATAAGTTGATTGAATATTTGTTCTTAAAAAAAGATTTACAACACTTAAAGGATCCAGGAAATGAATTTTTCTTAGAATCACTTTTGTATATCTCTGTACTCTTCTTCCATATATGAAGACTGTTTGACTTTTTTTGAGTTACGTGAACTGAACTGTGCACTTTTTCAAACATTAAAATTGACCAAGCATTTCTGGTCAAGTGAGGGCGCTTTTGCTTTGATGTAAATCCAGGAAGACATGGTTCAGGTTGCATGTTTTAATTTTCAAATTGTGAACCCCAAATTTGCTATTTGGAAACATTTCTGTGAAAAGGATTTTTGCTGGATCATTGCCATATACTTACACAGCAGTAAATTGCCAAAGAAAATGAAATCTGCCATAGCAGTGGTTAAAAAATCTAGAAATTTTCTGTTCACAAATCAGTGCAACATTGAGATTCAGTGCCTTGGATGACATCATAGCTCTGCTCATGAATATGCAAATAGCAGCATAAAAACCAAAAAGCATCAAAATATGGGTTAAAATTGAAAACCAAAAAAGTAAAATTAGGTTATTGAAACCCAAGGATGCAATTTCGGGGCTTTTAGTGAAATTTAAAAAAGCATTTCTGTTTCCTGGTTCCTTTAAACAATTCAGGTTTGGAAAAATTATTATGAGGCGTAAGTAATGAATATGAAACTTACAGTACTGTAGTTCGCAAGCATGCTATTTGGTGAACTGCTTCGATACCTATTTGTGTGTTTATTCACCAAACAACTGTCTCTTATGCAGCTGTTACAACCTAGAAAACTCCCCAACCATGGTGAACCTTCAACGTATTATGCCAAAAGTTTAAAAAAGTTGAGTGATAAAAATCCACCACCCTAGAGGTTACAAGACGTGACCAACCTCCGACCTACAGATATGTCTTATAGTTGTAGCAATAGCTATAGTAGCAAGACACCTGATACATTGCGCATTTTTGTTGACATTTTCCAGTGGCTCTTTAATTATTTGAACCGTCTCACCTATTTATATGTTAGAATTCCTCTATGTCCGAGGTGGGCGACCAGTGTTGTGTAGATTAAAGCTCTTTGCCTGTAGCAGAGGTGGTCTGTGATATGTTTGCTTGAATTCCTTTGCTTTATGGGAGGGACAAAGCCCTCGTCAGCTAAAAATGATAAACACTGGCTACAGTATTTTTTTTCTCCAGCTAATCGGTAACTTTTTAAAATTCTTTTGTCTTCGTAAACAAAGTTGGGTTTTGTAGGGTCAGTGCGTATTTCCAGAGACCTTTGAAATTCCCCGGCACGGTGGTTCAGCAGCCAGAGGTGTGAACCGTGTTTTGTTGGATATAAATAAGGTTTCTTTGCTTATTCTGGATAAGGAGGTCATACTTTGAAGAATTTGAATGATGACACTTTGTCATGGTGGGCAATTTGAGTTTATTTGAGTCGATTATTTATATTTTTATCGCTATTTTATCAAATACTGTATTTGCACAGTTGAAAACAAATTTATACCATGTTCCTCTGCATATTCTGAGCAAAGAGGCCACACTTTGAAAGAATTTGAATGATGATACCTTGTCAGGGTTGGGCAATTTGAGTTATCAATTATTACTGTTTTTATCGATAGTTTATCATTACATATTGGTTGCACAGTTGCACAGTTAAAACAAATAAAAGACAAACAATAAAACCGATGCCCCATATTTACATTTTAACAGTTCAGGAGTTTTATTTGTTATTGCAACAAAAGCCAATTTCTGGAACTGTGACTCCAAAATTGTGCATATTAACAAATGCTTTCAAAATTGGAAAACATCTGTCGTAGATTCATGTCTTTTTGGCATTTCTGCAACTGAAATATGAGATATGAAAAAATTGGAGGCAGGATGTAGGATTGTTTTCTGTATTGCATAATGAATAAAAGTACCTCCGTCACACTTTCCAGTGGAAACAAGCAACACGCCTTGACAACTCGCACAAAGTAAGGCCGAATAGACTTTTAAGTTACACTTCTTAAAATCGCCACACAATTACACGTACATTGAGCATGCTGTACTGAACATATTCAATCAGAAACAACCTATGCAATAACATTAGTTTGTGAGCAAAATACAACACCTAAACCTACAATCCCAAACCTGCTGGTGATGCTTATCAAATCACTCGTGTCATATTTGGGCGACTGTAAACTCTTACACAAAGTTTTCCAGCAAACATCATCAGCGAAAACATGATCTTCAGCATGCAATTTACATTGTTTACATGTGTATAACTCGACTCACTTCACATTGGGTAGCTATGACAAACTTAAAAATATAATGTTTTCCCACAAACAGACAAATGATTGAGTTACTTTTTCAATAATGTTACAGATTTAATGAGGTTTTAATTTCTATTCTTGCAAGAAACCGTGTTTTAAATAAAAATCCATAAAAGCTTTCAATTTTGCAATATCAATGTTCAAACAGCGCCACCAATAGTTGTAGAAAGTTTTACATCATTTGGAAGTTTGATCAAAATAGCTGAAGGAAATTCTCACTTATATCTCAAAATGGCCAAACGTCATCAAAGGTCACCATGCAAATTCTGGTTTTCTGTGGTCTACCAAATAGAAATCTGTCAAAACATATTATATACATCCTCCAAAAAACATGTCAAAAGACTAAAGGGGAGTCGATATGTCCCCCATCCCCAGGGATTTATGCATGGTAACAAAGGTTTAAGACATACCTTAAATACACCCAACAATGATATAAAGATATAAACCACACGGACCACAAACACATGCAACAAACTTTGCTGGAAGGTATCGTGTACGTCGAATGAAGGAGTGTCACATAAGAGAACCAATTTATATGGGAAATTTTAACCACTAATAATAATAAAATAATTTAAAAAAATCACCAAGCGTGACAACAGCTTCAAGTGAGCATTGTTGTTCCCACAGTCTACGTCACTCAAGCCCTGTCTCCGTTGGCTCTGCAGCTTGCTGTTATACCCAACTTGGATTTCAAGAAGGGCTACTGTTTGAGTCTTTTGATAACAAGAGGCACCAGTGCCGTTATCTGCATGGCGCCCAGGATGCAAAAAGCTTTGCCATAACCCCCAGTGTTATCGTAAATCCAGCCTGAATATTGAGTGGAAAGTGAATAAAACACAATCGTTATCATTTGCTAAGGTGTTATTCAAACTAATGGTCGACCCCATTAAAGGGTACCTCTAAGGAAAGCATGTTTTCTCTGATTTTATCTGTTCAAATAAATATGAAGCATCCCAATCGGAGGCAGTGTCATTTGTTTTCAGACAGCTACAAATGCATTGTTTGGGATGCACAAGGGTTTATCCACCATGGACACAGGGCGAGGGCTTCTCTCTCCTCCCCTCGGTTTTTTCATCCACATTCAGCATTTGCATCTTGGCCTGAACAGAAAAAAAGCCCTTTTCAGCTTGTTATAGTTGAGCTCTGAAGACAAATGACACTGTGTTCGATTTGAATGCTTCCATGTTTATTTGCAAGGATAAAAATCTGAGAAAACGTGTTTTCCATACAGTTGCTCCTTAAGCTGATATAAAGTCATGTACCTTCACAGCAAAGCTTGCCATAAAAATAGATAACTCAGCATTCATCTTCGGTACCCTCAAAGCGAAACGTTCCGATTCAAGGCATATCCATGTCTTGGGTTGGGGGTTGGGATTTCTCTTTCTAAAAGCGACTGCCCAGCTGCTTTGTTCATCGAGGAATCTTTACTAACCCCGCCGAAAAACTGGCAATATCGTTTCTTACAATTGTCGGCGCTTTAATTCAAAGGGGGAATATTTCTCTTACTGCTTTCATTTCTTAATTGTTAACACCCAGAAATTTTCAAGTGAAGGTTAGGGAGCGTAAAAAGTAGCACCTTCACAGAGGTGAGTTACAGGGTTGGTGTTTCATTGCAAAGGGAGACAGGAGTTTCATTTCAATATCTTATTTACCTGGAATGAATCCTGCGAGAGGGCGCACTGTTCCTGACAGGAATCCAATCCAGCCGAGAGCATTGGCCATCTTCTCCACACCGATGAACTCCTTCACCATGATTTCAGCCAAGTTAAACACCAGCCCCATGCTGGACACAAAGAGGGCGGCGTTAGCAGACACCGACCACCACGAGGTCGTCCAGGGGTCAACAAAGAAGGCGACAGCAACAAGAGTGACACTTACTGTCATAACGCTGGTGACCTGTACTTTCTCCGTGTACACAGCTGCACTGCCAAGCAAGGTGATTACCAGCTGGAAGAGTGCAGCGACTGTCACCATAATTGTGGCTTCTTCGTAAGAGAATCCGATGGCAACGGTGCGTGGAACAAAATAAATGTACCATGCTGATTGATTCAACCGAGTAGTCACCGAAATCAGAGCAACGATCCAAAAGTTGAGTGTTTTCATTAACGAAAGGTCAAAAACACCTTCTATTTTCACACAGATCGGTTTTATCGACGCCAGAATACAGGCGCCGTCTTGTTGGTGCTCAGGGGACCTATCCGGAAGAATCTGGTACCCATCTCTAGTTTGAGACCCGGTTCTACGTAAGCTTAATGGGGGTATCAGCAGGGCGCCGCTTACGGTGATATGAGCACCAATAGATCCTAGGAGAAGCATGGCCCCTCTCCATCCGTACGTGGTTTTAAAAAGCTGCATTAGAGGCGGGAAACAGATGAGACTAAGAGAGGAACCAATCCTTGCAATTCCTGACGCCATTGCGAAACCTTTTACGTCGAAATGAGCACCAAGTGATGAACGTGTCAGGACGTTGGCAAACCCCTGTCCCACAGCTGATAAAAGGCAAAGAGCAAACAAACTGGAAGGTTTTACAATCAGACTAATAAAGTACAATTGAAATTAGGGGCCTTTGACAGGCAACAACACATTCTCGAAACCTTTTAACTCGGGATTTGCAACAACTTTCTTTCAAAAAAAAGCAGTTCGGTATTGTTAATTTTGCCAGAAATGCTTTCTTAACTTGTAAATCAACTGCAGATTAATACACGTGTGTGGACATTGCCAGTAACTGGTTGACCATTCTTGCATTCCCTGGACACAAATAAATTAAGGGGCGATCTCCTATTTGTATTTTAAGATATACTATACACAGGTATCCTATAGGCCTACACGGCTGACCTGATCAAAATGACAGACTGAATTATTTCTTTTAATGTGAACGAGAACAAACCCCGGTGACCGAAAACCTGCTAGCATTGATCAGGTAAGGCTGCATGTCAGACTACGCACCAATTAGAAAAACGACGTACAGCACAACCTGTAGGACCCTGGATGCTAGTGACGTAGTGACGAATCCCAAGCAGACGAATCCACCGGCTACCATGACAACGGGTCTTGGACCGAGCTTTCTGCCAATGGGCCCCGCTAAAGGAGCTAGAAATTCAGGGAATGTTGAATGAGAAAATTGGGAGTTCTAAACTTCACAATATCGTACGCCATCGTAAAAAGGCTCAATTCAACAGAGGTTCGCACCACAGTGGGAAAAAGGCGGCACCGTGAGAGTCTGTTACATAGCGGTAACATGCAATAAAAAATAATCACCATTTTAGCACTTTTCATAACTGGAGCTTGCAGGCAGTGTTGCATTCCAGTCCATCACAAGTCCCTGCAAGTCCTTGTAAGTCCGTCACAAGTCCATCACAAGTCATACAGTCTTAATCCAATTCACAAGCTATTCAAATGACCTGTGACAAAAGCATTCCTTTGTCATTGCTCACCCTGTCACTTATGACTGGCCTTGTGAAGGGACTTGTGACTGAACTGGTGATGGGACTTGTGAAAGGACTTGTGATGGACTCGAGTACAACACTGCTTGCAGCAGGAACTCATTCTTGTCCTTATATGCCATATTCATTCAATTTTTTCCTCACTTTGTCGACCATATCGCTCCCCACTCAATGAGACTACGTACGTGCGACGTGTGTTACTCGTGTTATTTCAGGGTTCACCCCAGAGGGGATGAATCACGTGAGCTCACCAGCCGGTCAATAGGCCATTATACCAGAGACATAATAATTTGGTGTACAACGCAAAATATAATATTAAAGCGAAGTTTTAGATTCTGAAAATATGCTTTAATGTAATAAATAAAAAAGGGGTTTTAGCTCTTCGACAGCTGATACGTGAGGACGATGAATACGGGTGTTTCACAATAGTGCGTCTCCAAGAGTTTGGAACGTGTTGACCAATCACAATGCGCGAAATCTGTCAACGCAATGCGCGTTTGGAAGGGGTTGACAAATTTCGCGCAGTGTGATTGGTCAACGCGTTGCAAATTCTTTGAGGTGCACTTTGTGGACCGCCCGTATTCATCCATGTTTCAACTCAATGTGATACAATTATAGCGCTCTCATTTGCCCGAAAGTGTTGTCGACTGACAAAGTCGAATTTTGGCTGCAGGTTAAATTACTTACGAACACACCTGTTTTGGTAGTTTAATGGTACAGCCAAGTAAGTATGGGACACAACCATTCGCATGATTAATAATATCTAATTGTTTTGCAGGGAGAAACTGATACAGTTTACTATCAGCCGGTTAAATATAGACTGGCAAAATTGGCCAAAGTATCATGCGGGGGCGCAGCGATGAAAAACAATTATTGGTGCGATCAGAAGGATGCGCTGAGATGAGAGCGTTCACACTTGTTTTCAGTTTAGCCAACAATGCACATCGACACTTTGTTGCATGGGATACAAGCGTTTTGGTTCTGCTCAAGCCCTCTTTTTGCCGATGGTGGTTTCATTCTATAGCAAATAGGTCTCAGCATGACTCAACCTAAAGGTGGATCACCATCTCTTAATAAGTATAAAAATTTAAGTGAGCTAAAAACCTCTTTCGCAAAGTTAATATCACTGAATCGGTAATTAAGCCAAGTTAGCAAATTCAGGCAGAATTCAGCTTACTTGTCAAAACTTCACTTATTTGGGAGTAGTCAAAGACTTTCAAAACACAAAGCATTCTGTAAAAAGTCTTTTCCTCCGGTCAGCAGGAAGAAAGATGTCATTATCTTCCAAATTTGACAATTGAGTGATCAGGAGAAAAAAGGGCTAATTTGAATCAAGTGTCATTGGAGATAATGCGATACACGGAGTTTAGGGGAGTTTGTGCATCAGTGTGGTCAAGCTGGACTGCTTACTCTTCGCTGCTATAGGTTGGTTGATATCACAACTTTCACAAAATAATAGTGATGGTCTCAGAAGAAATTCATCGCTGTGGATTTTTTGGTCAGGAACGATCCGTCATTTTATTTACAACAATTTCAAATACATGTAATTGAATAAGCGCGGTGAGTGTTTCAAGGCGGTGAGAGTTGTTTGGCAGCGAGTTGTAGAAGCGAAGTTAAAGTCTTTTCTGATGTTCCCTCAGATCTAGGGTAGGCTCCAATTTTTGCGTTTTGGAAATGAACAAAAGAGCTCACAAAGTGAGTTTTAAACTAGCCTAAAAGCTGATCTCACTGCGCTGCCAAACAACTCTCATCGAGCTTTGAAACAACTCGCACCTCGATGTGAAACAACTCTTATTGCGCACTGAAGCAACACTCACCGCACTGCGAAACAACACTAACCACGTCGCGAAATAACAATTTTACCGTAATGTGACCTTAATAGTGCACCATAGATAAGAGCCCAGTGTTAATTAATTAAGCTGTAAGGAAATCGGCCGATTCTAGCCCGAGTGGCAGGCTATAAATAAAATGTGTCCTGGAGTACAACTGATGCCGAAGGTAAAGAGTACGAAGCACAAACGTTGTGCACATAGAGCAGACCTTACCAAGGATATCTTTACCGCATTCGACAAGGGCAAAGATGGTACCCATGACCCAGGTATCTGCTTTAAACTCCTCCATCATGGACACCAGCAGAATGCCCATTGACTTCACAAACATGGCATTCATGAAGTACTGTATGAAGACAGCAGCAGTCGCAAAAATGCCAGGTGTAGAGATTCGCATCTTCGCACCACTTTTTGCGCTGAAAGGTTTGAAAATTATACAAACCGTATGTTTAACCAGCCCAGATCTACACGGTAAACAATGTGTAGCACCAAATGCGACGCTGCGCCAAATTCTTTTTAATATAATGCCTTAAATTTATGCTGGTTGGCCAGAACCACGTCACGTGAGGTCGCGATAACTCATGGGCATCAATCTGGTTCGCAGGTGTGCTACATCCCAACGTCTCGTGACATCGCGTGTCGAGTGGTCGCCCCTTTTTATTAAAAAAAAAAGGCTCTCTGTAGGCCTATGCAAAACAGTCATTAAAATGATCCAAACAATGCAAAACATGTATTAGGTTGACAAATACCCAAATGTGAAATCCGCCCTTCAAGCGCCTCTTTCCGAGTTTCCCACTGCACAAGGTCTCTGCATCAACGGTACAGTTCCCAGAGGTGGCAGCAAGTCATTTTTTTGCAAGTCCAAGTCAAGTCACAAGTCATTGAAATAGAAGCCCCGCAAGCCGAAGTTCATTTTTTTAAAGTATTTAAGGCGTAAACTGAATAGCTTAAAATGAAAAATGTATTGGGCCGGTTGACTTAGGTTGGTAACATGTCATTTCTGCAAGCCCAAGTCGAGTCACAAGTCATTAGGTCCAGTCACAAGTCAAATCACAAGTTATTTGGTCACAGGGCAAGTCAAGTCACAAGTCATTTGGTCTAAATACAAGTCAAGTTACAAGTCTCTTTGTCCAAGTACAAGTCAAACTGCACATTATTTTGTCAAGCAGTAATAAGCGAAAGAACCAGGTGTCAATTTACGAAGTTACGGGTTGTGAATCTCGGACAGCTGAACACCTTTTTCTCCAATTATTTTGACAATGCCTCCGTAATTCCCCTTTTCACACATCATTGAGAAATTACTGTCTTGCAGTTTATCACATATCTGTACTTTGCAGGGTGGAAAATAAGCGTTGAGATAAAATTGTGACATAATGAGGGCGCTGTTTATCCCAGTCACGTGTCAGCAAAACGAAACGTAGCAGCATGATATGCATTCTGCCCAGATCTGCAGCTGCAGCTAGATGAAATAGTGGGCCTCAAATCACGCAAGAAATGGATAAGAAAAATGGGTAATCGCTCGTTTTCTCAAATTTTTCTGACCACATTGCCGGTATAAGCATGAGAACAAGACGATATCTCAAGGATATTGCTAAGAGAGCAAAGTTAGGAAATACGACTTAGGGGTTTAACTGTTTTCTTCATTGATTGTAGAAGCAAATGTAGGATAATAATAACAGACGTTAAAAACAGCATTCGAATAAAATTTGGGACAGAATTTGCTCATATAATTAACCGTAAAAAGCCCAGGTGGAATCCATCCCCGTATTCAACATTCCCTCCCTTAGTTTCGCAGTGCATATCCTGCGGTAGGCCTAATCCTTCAGCAGCTTTTCTGGTGATATTTCGGGATCATTTTAATATCAGTTTTGTGAATATTGGACGTATTGATCTCACAAAACGCCCTTTCACGAGGTCAGTCCCAGCCTAAAATGTCAACTTGTCTCATTTTGTGCACTCAATGTACGCAGGGCGACACGTGCGAGGTCATGAACTTAAATCGGATTAAATTATAATTTCACAATTATACTCATGAGAAATGTCTTTACATTTATACCAAATTTTGGAAGCATATCTGCCCCCACGTTCATGAGCATAATACACCTGACTTCCACTAATACTTCTTTCTTTTCACCAATCATCATTCCTTTCATTCCTATAGCAATTCCGACCGTTCTTTATTGTTTCTTTCCGTTTCTAACAAAGTTTTCTGCAATTAAACTTTTCACCGTGGGTGGCTTCATTCACATTCACTCATAGGGGGATGCAGTGGGTCAAAGTAATGCCAAGGTGGCTTGACGCATAGTTGGCTTTGGACAGGCGGTGCCCTGAGATGGCTCGTAATCATGGTGGTCACATAAGAATAATGAGTGTGTAATGCGGTAACTAGGCTAAATGAACAGCTGGCAGTGTGATATTTCATGAAAACACTGCATGGTGGACGCCATTATTGAATTTAGTTGTGTTTCACAAAAATGTATACATGTACGTGGAATAGTAATGTTAATTTTTATCTCCAGTTTGTGAAACTGATACATAATGAAATCCAATTCAGAGCTTTGCAACGTTTATTTTTCCAGTATTACCTAACAGGAATATCTCGGAGAAAACTCGCATAAATCTCTTTTGCCTGAGCGCTTTTGTCTTCAGTTTTTCAGAACAAAATCGTAATCGACCCGAATCCGAGGGAAACAAGCTTGCTGCAGGACTAGATAAGCTCTTATAATAAATTACCCGTTACATATCAGGAAAATAGCGCAATTTGTTGGCAATATAGTTTTCGTCTTTTTTTTCAGCTGAAGAACCGCGTTAGTGGGCT